TGGTAGAGGTGATTAACCATGAAATCTGGAATTGACAGTTCTCTTATATGCTTAAAAGGTTGTATATCTTTAAACATCAGTGCTGACCTCTAGTGGAAGGGAGGCTTGACTTCTCAACAGCCTTTCACATATCAACGAGTTTGGATTCTGTAAGAGAAGTATTAATATAAAAAGTAAGTTATTCTAGAATTGTTAAAATTTCTAAATGTATATGCAAAAAAATACATAAGTATGTTTCAATCATTTATTATCTTTAAGAATGACTGTTAGAAAAATTGTAACTTTTGCCCGAAAAGAAATGGAGAAAAAAAGAACCACCATCTTACTGTTTTTGTTCCTTCAAAATCAACATGTGTTTCCCAGGTTGTTTGCGAGACATTTATTTGTACAAATACCAAAAGGGGGGACATTTTTTTTGAAAATAAACTTCAAGAAATATCTTTTAAGTGCAAAAAATATTCTTTGTTGTGTTGTATGTTAATGCCAATGTGCTGCTCTAAAAAAAAAAAAGTGTGTATGGCCCTAAAGAGCATCCTGAGCTGTCTGCAGAAAATGTAGGGCTATTTGGCTCTTGTCCGAGCCACACATTGTTTTTGACAATGAAACTGCCTGACAAATGAAGCAGTGAGTTACAATAAACATTGTTTTCAAATAAGTTTTAAATTGTCTGATGTGGTCAGTCATAACCATCAACTATATCAGTGTTTCCCACCATTTTTTGTCTTATAAAAAAAAAACTGAAAAATAAATGCATAATTTTAACTAAATTGCAGTTGAGAAAAGCTGATGTAAACATTCTAATATCAAAAGTGCATTATATTTTTTCATAAATAATTGTAACCAAGTTTAAAATGTATTAAAATACATATAGATTCCTCATGGGGACACCAGATCAACGCCCCCTAGTGGTGAACCATTAGTAATGTAAACGTTAAGGAAAAGTATGACATAACTCGTTTGCTAAAATCACGTGTCTAGCTTGATATGCGCTCCAAAACACTGGTTTGAAACCAGTTTCATAAACATTTCAAAGCTTCATGAAGCAGTGTTTAGCAAATTAAGTGCATCATCAATCTGAACATGCTTAGCAGCCTGTATAGTTGGACCATCACTGCCACTTACTGCTGCTCATACTAAACAGCCTAAAAAATGACTTTCTTTCTTACTTTTGTTAATGTCATCCTTTTCGACATTAAATAGTTAAATCAGCATATACGGTTTCATCTGATCTCAGGCTTTATGATTTAGGTTTAGTTTTAATGACAGATGTATATTGGAAAAACTGAGTTTTATTTGTCACTAAATTGGCCTGACTGCAAGCCCTCTCAACAAACAAACAATCAAACAAATAAAGAAAGCAAACTACAAACGAGTGAAACAACACAATTTATACACTAACCTCATATTTAATTATTTGTAGATTGCATTTAATAGATTACACTTGCATGAAAACATTTGGAATTGATTTGTAAAAGCTGTCATTGTCAGGGTGTTTGGGCTGTTAGAATGAGAGAATCATTTGGCATTGATTCATTGAAGACAGTGGCTGGATGAAACATGGTGAAGAATCAAAACAGATGCCAATATTTCCTTATTTAGTCAAGTTACTGGCCGAATAATGTATATAGTTTTCCCCCCCCTTTGAAATACTGTTTTGTTTTTGTTTTCATTTTTTTTATGAAAATGACATGGAAATTAAACATGGAAATGTAGCCTATAAGGTCTCACAAAATGTCATGTTAAAGCCTTTAACTTAAAGGCTATTTAAAACCGTTTTTGTAGTTTATAGATTACAGTTAGGCCTACATTTATGTTAATATACCTGTGACGACATGAAATTTTAATGGGTATGAATCGTTTTACTTTTTTATTGCAGGCTTTCTGGGAGTCCAAATTGAAGACAGCAAGAATAGACTGATGTTGTCCTTAACCTGTCACCCGATTATTACAAAATTCTCTACAGAATTAAATGTATAGAAAAACATAAGAAAGGGACATAACCAAGTCGGAAAGTAATGTTAATTTCACAATGTGCCCACTGCATTCATCTGTGTGCTGTTTTCAAGGGTAACATAGTTCACGTGTTGCCCGTTAGGTTTTTTCGTGCTGGTCTGACTAGTTCTATTTAATTATTTTGCATAGATTACTTTGGTCAGTTTTCATATTTATGCCAGGAACTATCTTTTTAATTCATTGCATTTAAATACTTATCTGTACTATCCAAAATATCCTGATATGATTTGTCTCTCTGAGTCTGAACCTGGAAGCGCCCTCGAAAGGAAAACACTTGTTTAACACACAGGAAGTAGGTTTAGCTCCACCCCCTGCATCCGCCATCTCCTGTTACTACATGGGAAGGCGGGCGAATTTGAAAAAAGAGCATATTCGTTTGCATCCGAAAACAGAGAAATTTGTTTAATACAATTCCATATAACCGACCATATAACAGATTGGACAGTGTAAGTAAAACTAAGGCACAGCTCTTTTAAAATACATGCAACGTTGTTGTTGTAATCGTGGCATTGTAAATTTCTCGCGTGTTCGTCGTGTTAGCTTACTGACTAGCAGCAGTTTGCAGTTTCTGGATCTGTATTGTCTTGCAAGATGAGCAACAAAACCACACGATTACCGTCGCGGAAAAGCAGCGATGAAATCAGAAGTGAGTGTTATTACTGTGAACATGATACTGTTAACGTTAGTCTTTTAACAAGGCTGTTATTGAGTTATCTGTTATGTTAGCGAATGTCGAATTAATAATGAATGCATAAATGACAGCTAAAATGGCTTTATTATACTAAAGTATGTTCTGTTTTGTGTTAGTTGTGTTTTTCTATAAAAGTTTACTGTTTGTACAGAGTCAAGTGGAAAGAGTCCACCACGAAGGAGGTCCTGCAGGTTGTCTGCAAGTGATGTAAATCTGGCCTCTAAAGTTGTGGTGAGTTCACTAAAGTCAGTCACTGATTGATGAGTGGTAGGAATCGATGGAAAAAACAAGACACGTCTGGTATTTACTTCTATAAATGAAATCAGAAGCTGATTTTCTGTTGTGAGTTGACAAGTAAGGTTTTTTTGCTCATCACGTGTATAACATTGTTGCAATTTTGTTTTTCTGGCTCACTGTTACAACTGGGGGAATGAATCATCTATAAATCCTAAACAGTGTTGTTACCTTGATGATTTGTTTGAGCAAAAAATGGCTGAAAAACCAAAAATATAGACATGATTGTCTAAAATACATAATATTAGTTATATTAATTTTACTGCATATTTTAATGCTTATAATGTATGGAGTTATGTTCTGGAGATATTAGAGGTATTGTGTGACATCATCATTTTGATAAAATGGTACCTTTCTAGTGTTCATCTCTCATTAATTTAAACTTTTTTTTTGTTGTTGAAATTGTTATTTTTTAAGCAGCTTTGTGGGTTATTGTTGGTCTTGTCGACACTTGTCGGTGTCGTGCTTAAAAAAAAAAAAGAAAAGAAAAAGATGGTTAACCCTTAATAGGTATAGAGTAACAAAGAACTTACATTTTTTGTAAACTGTCAGTTTATAAATTGTAGTCTTTGATAGTGTTTATATAATGTTTGTTATATATTTATATTAGTTTGTTTTGTATACAGTGCTGCTTGAAAGTTTGTGGACCCTTTAGAATTGTCTATATTTCTGCATAAATATAACCAAAAAATTTGAGATGCACCGATTGCAATTTTCTTGGCCGATTCCGATTTTTTTGTTAGTGTGATCTGCCGATACCGATTTTCTTTCTAAGAACTATAATTGACAGCATATACAAACAAATATCTACTTTCCTTCAACGCAAAATAGTTTTTTCATTAAAAAACAAGTAAAAAGTCGGCAATAAAATAAGAACAAATAAAAAGAATTCAAACAACAGCACAAATAAATGCAATAGAATAAAGAGAGCTATGAAACTAAGTTTTTCAGGTTAAGTAAGTTTTATTCAGGTAAGAAATACTACAGAAATTAAAGTAATCAAATGTAAAATAACACATCCAGTGTTATTTTACATTTGATTACATTAATTCCTCTAGTCTTCATTGTAAAAATTAAATACAGATGAATGCTTACCATTAAAGTTATAAAACGTATTCAGTCAAGAGCAGACAATTCTTTTCTTTGTGTTTTGTTCTTTGATTAACATGACAGACAGCAGCAGGAATATTGGACTGCGGTCCCTTTAAGAGTTTATCCACGGACCCAATATACTGTTACACAACATGCGTTCTCTTTCTCAACTATTTAACTTTCCAAAACTGACTGTGTTTAACTGGATACTGGCCAAGACGGGCATTTTGACATAATTTTGTATGTATTTGAACGTTTTAGCGCAGTTAGCTACTCATTTCGGTATTTGTGAAAATAAGCTGTTTGGGACTGAGCGCTGATTGTGCGCTCCACTAATATAGATCAGTGGTGGTGCACGCGCTTTTGGTGTAAGTACGAAACCTGCAGGAATGATTAAAATAATGCGCAATACAAGCACTATTTAACCGGAGCAAATGAGACGTGTCGGAGAGAGGAGAGTGAGAATGCGCGGCTGATGTTATTGACTGTGTCGCTGGTAACGGATCGGCTCGGAATCGGAAAGAAGTGAGACTGACCGGCTGGTCACCGATCCTGGCCGATCATGAGGAAAATTGGCCGATTCCGACCACTGGCCGATAGATCGGTGCATCTCTACAAAAAATCTTCAGATTTTCATGCAAGTCCTGAAAGTAGACAAAGAGAACCCAATCAAACAAATTAGATAAAAATATATACTTTGTCATTTATTTATTCAGGAAAACGATCCATTATTACATATCCGTGAATGGCAAAAGTATGTGAATCTCTAGGATTAGCTGTTAATTTGAAGGTGAAATTAGAGTCCATCTGTTCAGAGGTGTTTTTAATCAGTGAGATGACTCTCAGGGGTCAGTGTGTTCCCTGTTTTATTTAAAGAACAGGGATCTGTCAAAGTTTATTTATGTTTGTGGAAGTGTATTATGGCACAAACTAGGGCTGGGCGATATAGCTAAAAAATGTATCAATGATATAATGTTTCATATCGTTCAGTATCGATAATTATTGAAATTTTTTTTATAAACTTTTTTTAAAACAAAGAGCAATAGAAAAAAATGTTTACATTTAACCACTGTATTTTTAAATTAACTCAATTTATTGAGACAAACAACAAATATTTTTTTTGTTTTAACAGTCAAAAACAAAATAAAAATTAAACGTATCTAATTTCTAATGTGTTTTTTTTTATACATTTAGCAGAAGCTAGATTAAACTTTTGGCTTGTCTCCCAAGGCCACAGGAGGGCGCAATGAGCAAAATAATGCAGCACATTTTAAATGCTCAACGCAAGGAAGTAATAGTCTATAAAAAACGTGCATTACGTCTAAATTAACTCGTATAAATCAAATATAATTTCGTAAATTGCTTAAACAATTATGAACAAAACTGAGACGTGAGTGCAGCAGTCGTATTTGTCCGTCTAGAAAATGCGCTGAATATGCGTTCTGTGTGAATGGCTTGGTTTCGGTTTTAACCTAATCAAGATCTTCTCCGCATTGAGCTTCTATATTTCTCTAATATTTTGAATGAATAACGCAGCAACTGCGCGTCTTGTGGGCTAGACTAGCAAAACATTAAACTACAACGTCACTTGCATCATCACCTGACGCACATCTAACATTGGATTGTACTATTTTTGCATTCAAATGCAAATGTTTATTTTAAATTCGACTAATATTCATTCTTTACTTACAATCTCCTCATCACAGGCAGGTACAGCCCTCATGTTCGTGTTTGTGTGTGCTGTCTGCATCACTCATAGCACGTGCCTATATCGTGCACTATATTTAATTTTTTTAATATCGTTATCGAAGAAGGTGTACCGTCGATAAATATCGATACCGTTTTATCGCCCAGGCCTAGCACAAACAAATTAGATCTCTGAGGACCTCAGAAAAAGAGTTGCTCATCAGGCTAGAAAAGGTTTCAAAGCCATCTCTAAAGAGTTTGGACTCCACCAATCCACAATTAGACAGACAAATGGAGGAAATTCAAGACCACTGTTACCCTCCCCAGGAGTGCTCTACCAACAAAGAACACTCTAAAAGCAAGATGTGTAAAAGTCCACTAGGATTCAAAGGACTGCAGGCTAACTTCTAACATAGCGTTATGTTTGGAGAAAGAAAACACTGCATTCCAGCATAAGAACCTTATCCCATCTGTGAAACATGGTGGTGGTAGTATCATGGTTGGGGCCTGTTGTGCTGCATCTTGGGCCAGGATTGATGGAACAATGAATTCTGAATTATACCAGCAAATTCTGAAGGAAAATGTCAGGACATCTGTCCAAGAACTGAATCTCAAGAGAAAGTGGGTAATGCAGCAAGACAACGACCCCAAGCACACAAGTCGTTCTACCAAAGAATGGTTAAAGAAGAA